AGAGTTGAGGGTTTGTTAGATTTCGCAAGTCGTAGGGGGGTGCAACTCAGGATCTTTCTTGTCCCAGGGTGGAAAGTTTGCACGATGGGCTAGTTAGAGCCGTGCCGTCGACAACCAGATCGTTTTTGGAAGGCAGTTCGGTAGCTGGAAGGGCTGCGTCATGGCTTGGGCGTGGTCTGTATTTAGAGGGCCATGGATGCAGAACCGCCCGCCTCGTTCGGATTGTCTGAATGTGGAGCGACCAACCCCCGCCCAAATCTCAAGCCAAGCCTGAATGCTTCTAGTGCCTAAAAAGCCGAATTCTGTCACGGTACTGTGGAGGAAAGTTGGATTTTGGGCTACGGCTTCTCCTATGTCTACCGGCGCGCCGCGGCTCTGCGCCGACCGTTCCAGCATGAGCACTTTGGAGAGGACGGATCTGGTTTGGTCTCCGGTTTGTGATTTACGTCGCATTTAAGAGATCAGAAGAAGAACAAAGGATAGACGGGCTAAGCACGAAACCATAATTGGAGCTATCTGGTATGTGGCATCGCCTAGTTTTTGGCCCATGGCCGCTTAAATGGCCCTTGGCTCTTTCTCAGTTCGACTTGCAGGTTTGGCTTGAGCGAGTTCATGTAGCTTTGCCCGGCTCTACAGCACGCTCGTCGCCAACGTGTCGTACTTCGGTTTTTTTTGACGTCGGCTTCAAGATGTGTCTACAGTGAGTCAATATCGTTTCTGCAGTCTGTACTAGGGTCCCTTTTCGACCAACTTTCTCATATAGTACATCTTCAGTTCATATGCTCGGGGGCACATCTAGACTTGCAGAAGCGTTGCCGCATTTCACTCCACGGGGACAGCGTCGGCCGGAACGCGGATGGGAGAAGGGTTTCGTTTGGACTTAGCGACCGTGATGCTCATGCCGGGCCGTTACATTTACGCATTGTCTGCATTTCGGGCTACTGGCGTGGCCTGTGGCTGGCTGTGTGTCTCCGCACGGTTTGGGATTGGGGATGCGAGATTCGTTCGACCTAGCGCTGCGAATAGATTTGAAAGATTGGCATTGGGCTTAATCGTAAGATTTCGCCATGGCACCTGACGAATACTTTCAGATCGCTTTCTACCCATCGCTGCAGGACTATCAGTTCTTGGTTGCTCTACGTGATGCTCCGGGCGGCCGTGGCATTCGCACCGCACCTTCGCGTGATTTCAGCATGTCATTTTTGCGGATTCCCTGAACCTTGCACCCTAAAGCGGGATGAGATGCAGGACCGGGGATTGAAGCGGGGCTAGCGCTAGGTCGAGTTCTTGTGATTTTGCACGCTTTGAAGTTCTAAGCATAGACATACCCACACGTCCAGGCAATGTCTATTGTTCATATATGCAGTCTTTGCAAGTGCCTATATTTTAGTTGCAGTTCCTCATGCACACAACCACGCGGTGTTTGTTGATGCCTGGTACTTGAAGCCTGGATCGACTGGCCCACGACCCATCAGGTCCACGACGAGCAGGGCTTGGTCCTGCATATGCAACAAGGCTCCTTTGCGGGCGGGGAGTTCGGTCTAAGTCTAAGCGCCGTGACTGATGGCCCTTCCTCCACACAAAAACCCAAAACCCTCACGCATCCCTAGTCCCTCGGCCTTCCCATGTCAGCATGCCAACCTATCCCTTTGAGCTCCGGCAGCCCATGGAAGGCCCGGCAGGTTTAGGCCCTACATGCCCGCACTAAAAGAGTCCTGGACCGCGGCTGTGACTTGCCCCCCCCCGGTCTGAGAGTTTGAGGTTTGCCACTGTCGGGCTTCACAACCAAGAGTTGCAAGGTTTCGTGTGGGTCAGCTATGGAAGAGCTGCACAAATCCTCAAATGCCGACAGCATCCCGCGAAACGATGTGGATGCTAGTAACGATACGAAGAGTATTCATGCTGTCGTAGTTGTGATGACGTATGCCAGCCTGCGCTCAGGCTTGAACTTGTCGAACTCCCACGCTCACCATGAGCTCGATACTCAACTGCATTGTCTCAGGCTCAGGGCTTAGACATTTAGGTGAGACCGCCATGGCGTGACATGCATGCCTCGTTTTCAGGGCGTTAATTAGATTTGGGCATAGCTGCAGGTTGCCCGGATTGTTGAAATTGAAAGGTTCCCCCCCTGCCTGCCCCTATACTGTCCCAATCATGCACCCCAGTACCCGATTCTAATAGGCCCTTTATATACCCGTCATTTGTCCAAGGTTTCTCGGTTTAGGTGTTACTTTGGACTTTGGCGTGCTGAGAGAAAGAGACTTGACAGGTTTTGGCTACGGGGCAGTCAAGTCTGTCTTTCAGAAACGGGAGGAACTTGGAAAACACAACCCAACTCGAAACGGCAACTCGGACTCGGCACTCCACCTTCCGTAGCTTCGATCTTCACTGCATGCCATGCCCGGCCGCTCCAACCGAAGATTTCTGCGGGTGGCAAAAACTGAGAATGCACTGCGAAACTGTTCTCAACGGAGCCTGTGGAAATTTGATCAACTCGACACAGCTTTTGCTGCTGCGCTCGGGATTACACTTCTTCAGGCCTGAAGACTTCAGAACCCGAAGCTTGAAACACTGAATCCTCAAGGTTTTGGGTGAAATACTGATGGCCCGATTCCCTAAACCCGGTCCCATAAAACTTAAGCCCCCAGATCCACACCGCACAATCCATTAAACCCTAACCCCTAAACCCCGAGAGGGAAAAAAAACCCAACCCACTTAGCGGGTGATACGAGCCTGCGCCTTCGCCCTGTACCAGTTACCTCGCCTAGGTTCGTCCGAGTGTGAGTGCTGAAACCCCTAAACCCTAAACCCATTAACCGTAAACCGGCACAAGGGGTCACCGCAGGATGCCGCTGGACTGGCGCGCCTGGCAGTGGCGAAGCTGCCAGGTCACTTCGCCAGCGGTTGAAGGGTTCCTTAAAGGGTTCCATAAGGGCTACAATAAGGGTTTAGGGTTTAGGGGCCTTCATAAGGGTTGAAAGATTCAACAGAGGGCTTAGGCCGTTGAGGGTGGTATCACGGGTTTTGTACTGCAAGCGTCCGTCTTTACGGCCTCCTCTTTTGACATCGTCAGTCGGGAGGCAATGTTGGTTGCTCTTCGGTATTTGCCGGCGCTGTCCCCGCTCCACCCCTTCGCGCGCCTCTCGGGCCATTCAGCTTCATCGCCGACTCGAACACCTCGTCCTGGGGTTAGGGCTGTAGGGTACAGATCTACTGGAGAAGCCAGCACCTAATCTAGGGCGTTATGGGCCACCGCTGGTTTTTGTCCCAGCTTGCTTATCTTTTGGGTTGAGACGGGGTGCTTGCATCCTGCCATAACAACTCGCCGGTACAAAGGTTGCGAGCTCAGTGACATTTCTCCCTGTTTAGACTGCCTTGTCATGCGTGGTCATAGTCCTGCTGCAGTTTTAGCCAGTTTCCTTGTGCGAACCCAACACCGCTAAACCTCAATCAACCCTGCGCAAGCCATAACTAGGCACTGAGCCGAAATCCTTCGAGGTACGACAGGACTCTCTGACTCTGAAGTGTTTCCATATATCCCGAATAAGATTCTTGTATCCAGCACACCCTAGCCCCAAACCTCAAGAAGAGAAAGGGGTCGCAGCTGCAATCCTATCCGCTGAGAGGCTTCCGCCCACCGACACGACTACCGGACCTAGAATCACCATTCATCAGCCACCAGGAAGCTCTATCGGGTTGAATGTCTGATAGTAGGGTCTGGGATTGAGATAACGGCATGGGGTTGAGGGATGAAGAGGGTCATAGACAGGTTTTGCAAGCACGCGTAGAGGTTGAAGGGGTTTCTTCCCTCTTTGAGGGTTGTTTTGCAGGTGTCGGTGGTGAAGTTTTTGAGGCACGAAACATGTCCCCTGTTAGGAGAGCTCACAGCGCATGGTCCCAAGGTCATGGATGCATGGACATATTCAGCAGGCGCTCATGCCCTCAACAGAGACCGAAAGTCCTGCCACAAACTTCTGCGGCTTGTTTTATGGTTCTATTTCCCCTACACCCCATACCCTGAAAGTATGGCTTAGAGTCTAGAGTTTGGGCCCTTGGCCCCGGCCTCACTCGGAAGTTTGAACCCCTCTGCCCACCCCCGCCCCCTCCCCGCAACCAAGCCTAAACTTAGGTCTGCTAAGCGCCCAAAAAACTGAGGTCTTGGTGCTGCTCATCGCATGTTTCTGCGGCCGTGCCTTGGGCTTGATATGATGGTGGCCTTGGGATTTCAGGTTCGGGTTCGGCTGTTCAAGAGCTCGTCTCTGTTTCTTCTCTCTGGCACCCTGAACCCGCAACCTCGGTAGCACTCTTGGCCCTCAACCTTTCGCAGGGACACCAAAAACTCTAAGGCAGGAAGCCATACAGTTTTCCAGTTTTTGGCTCGACTAGCCCGGCCTCATCTGCATGTTTGCGTGGACTTCTCTGATTGGGATGATGACGACGGCTATGTTAGTGGGAACAATCCGGCCGTGTGTACCACACGATTCCCATACGGGGTTTAGTTGTTCTGTTGATACGGGTTTCAATACCAGTGTTGCTGTGCTACTTGTTCGCATGGAATGAAGACACATGTTAGGATGTAGGCTTTGTCTGAACTAGGGACTCAACCCAACTGAAGCATTCGCAGACATGCAGCCGCACGACAATAGTCGTCTTGCACTACACCGGTCTTATCAAATACACTCGTATTGAGGCCAAGGACCGGATTCTGTTGGCCGGTTTCAACCGTCCAGGTTCAAGGTGAGCACGAGGGTTCAGACGTCAACCCCTAAACTATGCACCCAGCACAACCGGAGGCGCTGTGACTGAAACTTGTTCAGCCTGGCCCTCACTGCCCAAACTCGAGCAGCGACTGCGATTCTATGTAGTGCAACCACTCCACGGCGTCATGTGTTTAGATGTTCAGGATTCATCTACAAATCAGCAGCCCCTCCTTGAAGTTTCCATAGCTCGAAAAGGCCTTCTTTTCCTGGAGCGGAGACGCTGCGCCTGGCGTTGCAAAGGTGGGATGGGATTCGATGTCGGAGTGGTTAGCTACCGAGATTTCTATGTCGAGATATGGGAGGTTCGGGGAAATGTATAGTCAGGTTTGCTAGAATATTTTGAGTATCTACTGGCGGAGACTTTTGCCAAAGAGCATGGCCAGCACCGAACCTTTGGATGCTTGTAGTAGGCGGCAAAAAAAACATGGTAAAGCTATCGCAGCAATAAGGGTGGGGTCTGAAGCTCACAGGTTGCTGCGATTTGCTGCGCTTTGCTGCGCATGGTTCCAAGGTTTACAGAAGCACAGGATATGTGCTGCGGCTTCTCCGGATATTGCAGATCAGGGTTCATGTGCCTTTTTGCACACTTTCCTTACTTCGAACAACAGCAGCGGGGGCAAAGCCACTTGCAAGGCAATGGCCATGCCAGAATCTAGAATCATCACCTGTCCGGCTACAGTTAGCGGCATGAGTTGTGCCCAACATGTCAGATACGTGTTTTTACTGGAGGTGCCCGGGTGGTCAGTAATGGCACAAGGGCACAAGCATTCAGAGCCTGGGGCTTTCCGGTGGATTGGGTTCAGATCCAGGAGAATCCGCTGGCCTACGCTCCAAAAGAGGTGTCAAGCCTAGTTCCACGACGTTCACCTCAGGCTCATCTTCAGAGCTTGATTGGGCGCTCTCCTGAGCCTGATACCTCGCTTCCAACCTCCGCTTCGGCGAGAGATAGGTTGCTGCAGCTACAACTAAATATTATGGCTGCATGACCCTAAACAAGTGAAGTAGGTCCCGTTAAGGCCTAAATCCCTGAACAGCAGTTTCGGGCCCGAACCGCCGGTTGAATGATTGACCCCGAAGCCCGCCACACATGTGGTTCCTGGTCCAGATATGTCCAGATCGAAAACCCAAGCCTATGATTCCTGCAGCTTCTTCTGCGACAGACAGTGAACCGCTCAACCCCTGGATCAAGAGGAGAGCCCCAAAGTTTTGACCCCAACCGGCAATTCTAGGCGGCAAGCCGTGGCTGCCGAACCGTAAACCCACAGACCCCGAGCCTTCACAGGCTCGGGGTGGCTCGCCCACGCTGTGTCGAGAAGCTTTGCAAAAGCAGGCCAGTTGGATGCTTTCTTTGTGGTGTTTGAGGGTGACTTTCGGGATCGTAGGGTTCTAGCTTGTTTCCGGGCATTTGCTTATCTGTCGGTTAAGCTCTTGAGCACTGCTCGCCAGGGAAGCCGGTGTCTTAACTACTGCAACAAGCCCTAGGTCCTAAGCGAACATCGAGGCACAGTCGTTCAGCATACCAGGCATCAGCTTGCATCTTTGGTGTTTCAGTGCAGGGTTTAAGGCGGTTTGGGGTTTTGGGGTTACAGCCCGGACGCACAAGAGGGTTGTACCTCAACCACCGCACCCCCGCACTCTCCAAGAGGCACGTACCCGTAGCCAGGTAGACGCGTCAGGAAGAGACCGAACGAAACCGACAGTGGGGCACCTTGCGTGGCAAAACATCATTAAGTTTGGAAAGATTCAGTGGAATTTAGCTCCTAAATTCCTACAATATCACACGCCTTGTGGCAATTCGGGGTTTTGTCCGGTGCTTGACTGCCCAATTTGGCACTGAGAGGTTCTGCCCCTGTCGAGTCCACGTTTACCGCTCCAAGCTCTTCAACCCAGCCAGCCCTTACAATTTGACAACTATGGGAATCTGAACCCCAAAACTCCCAAAATTTACGCTCCAGGAGCTTATGGGTGTCGGGCGTCTTGTGCTCCAACTCCTTCTCAGACCGGCCATATTCAAGTGTAGGCCGAGGCAAGACTCCAACTCCTTAGAGCAGGGGAGTGGGAACCTCGCAGCAGCGAGTGCCGAGTGTGTTGGGGCTTAGAGCTAGGGTTGAGAGCTTGGGGCCCAAGCGAGGGGAGGGTGGTTTTGGCGAGAGCGGGCTGCTGCATAAAAGGGCTTAGGGTGTGCGGTGTTTGGCTAGTTCCATCACAACTTCTACCTTCCAGTAACCCTCGAGCTTTCAATGCCGGCATCTGCCAGCACAGGTGGCAAGAGAAAGAAGATGCCGTCGTTTGTTACTGTGTTTGGCGTCGAAAGGAAGTCTTCATGGAGCCAGGACCCGTGCAACTTGTACTGTCTCGCATGATACGGCTGCGGCCACATGGAATCTACACGGCAGTCTCGTAGCTGTTGCTGCCATTAGTACGGGTGGCTTGTACGAATAGGGAAGGTCGACGTTCTCGTCATCATCATCATCATCATCATCATCATCGTCATTATCATCATCACGTTGACTACCAAACTGCGGATAACGGGGATGATGAGCCTCTGATCAAGTGGTCAGGATGATGAGGGTGCAGACCACACAGGGTACATTCCGCACCCCCAAAGGGTTTCCGAAGCCGTCAACTGCCGAACTAAAGAATCTGAGCCTCCACATCACTCCCAGCAAACCGAACTGCCTTTCCAGTACTGGAGCCGGGCTTGGGGTGATCCGAAAAGGCTCTAACTAAACTCGTTGCCCTGCATTCTACGCCCTAACACTGCGTAACACCTCAAAACTAGCCCCGAACCCACAGTCTACACCCTTTAAACGTCGCAGGAAGAGCTTTCGCACCAACTCCGCGACTCATTGGGGCACGCTTGCCCAGCACCCTGATCGGCATCTTCTGGTTCAGGTGTAGGGATATGGGAGCTTTCGAAAATTAGAGTACCTTATTTTGGGGTCCTTATAATAAAGATCCTTCTATTTAGGGTACTATATTAGGGTCCCCTATTTTCGGAAACCCCCATATGCAGCGTCTCTGCATGGCTCTCGCCACGGTTGAGACTGTCGGGGCAGGTTTAGACAGTTACGCATCTATTCAGATTTTGAGATTGTTGTTTTGCGCAGCTTTTCGCAGGCAGCTAGGTTTTCCATGACGCATGAACTGTAGAGGTAGAATGACAGCAGTAGCACTCGAAAGTAGCTTTCCTTTGAGTTTGTCAAGATGTAGACGGTGGCAGTAGCCACAAGAAGAGCCCTAACAGGTTTATTTGGGAGTCGAAAAGTTTTTGGGTGGTAGGGCTCCTGGTATCTACAACGGGGGAGCCAAAGAGTCGATCCTCTTAGCCTTTGCATCGTTGAACCCTGGGGCGCCTTTCTGGGCAGCTTGGCGCATCGTCTTTGTATCTTGTGGTTCTTTGGGGCTTACGGCCTATGAGAAGTACAACTCCGAACCTCTAAGCACTCATCTGGATGACTTTGTGTGTGAAGGTATGCTGTTCTTGTCCGCACCCTCAACCCTGCTGTAAACCCCGAACCCAAAGTTAAAGCCCGGAAGCCCCAGCCCCAACTAGGACCTATCAGCCCTCGAGCTCCGTTTAGTAAAGTCCCTTGCAGAAATCGAACTATCAAGGGCTTCCTGCAGACCTTAAAGCCTAAACCGTTAAGCCGAAAATCCCCCAAACCATCACTCCAAGATCCAAACTTTCCAGCACCTCCGCGGCCAAGAGGCGACGTGCCGCGGACAGCGGCCGCGGAGCTGAGAGCCCTGAGGTTGGTGGTTTACCTCTATTTACATTCCTTATTTTTTGTTTGTAACTGTACTATATTCTACACTAAAGCTGTAGTCTAATCATGAACGCCCGAATACTATCTTCAGTCAGTCCATTGACTGATACCTTCAAGCAATGGTTTATTGAGTATTTGATTAGCTGAGTTGCAATTCACGAATTCGTTCATTGATGCATTCATTCATTGATTGACTGAAGCTATCGTTGGTTGATGAACCATTCAATCAACAGGTTGTGTGTTTATATATATATATATGTATATATATATATATATATGTACACACACACTAAAACATATTCTTAATCCAACATCTCAAGCTCGAGCTTACAGGGTTTAAACTAGTGTTGGGGGGAAGGGCCGGAAGGGCTGAAACCCGGTGCCCTTGTTCGTACGACTCCCCGAAAGTCGTTGCAATGCCTGTGAGGTTGCGGAAGACCGTCTAGTCTGGGAACCTTCGGACTTCTACCGGAGCCTCCTAGGTCTTTGGGTCCGTTTTGCATCCTGGAGCTTCGGGATTCTGGTTGCAGGCACGTCGGCCGGCTGCTTCTGACCCGCTGTCCGGCCACGCGCTCTGCACGGTCAGAGTGCGAGGGCTGGATTCGGCTGCAGGCGCCGCAACTCCATGATTTTCGAGTGTGTACCAGAAGTCTGCGGACAGGACCCGTCCAGTTTAAAGTGCCTTGGCATAGTCTTGCAATTATCCTGAGGTTATGTCAAGTTTGTGGGGAGTTGGTAGGCAGCATGGCTTCAAGTTTTCTTGCAGGATGCTCCTGCATGAGATTTTCTACACACCTCGCTCTCTCCTCCCCTCTCCCAAGTCTTGCACACATGCTTCAGAGCCGACTTGTGTAGCCGGTAATGGGTCGTGTGACACAAGGCAAGAGTTGTGCTAAGTAGAACTCTGCCCAGAATGTCCCCTGCCCCTTAACTGCTGGAACCTTTTCCTGAACCTCTGCCTCCCTCGTTGCCCAAATCCCACTTAATGGGACTTTCAGCGAGCATATCCTGCAGGTCCATTACTCCACACATATCGCATTGCTGGCCACACTGGTCACGCTGGCATCGCTGTTCCCACGGGTTCGCCTGGAAGTTGAGCCACCTGGATTTTAATATAGGGCCATCGGGGGTTGCGTTGGGACCCCCCTCGTCGTCTCAGAAGTAGAAGCGAACCCGCAACCGCAACCCTGAAACTTGAGCTGGAGTATCAACTAGCCAGTGCGCCCTGGTCACCATGAAGCTAGCGCTGCGGTTTTGTGCTTCGGGAATGAAGATTAGAAGGAACATGCGTTCGCAGTTCGTGAATCTCGGAGCATTCTGGCTTCCGCGCTTGTGGAGTTACAGCGTGGGTGGTTGCCACTTGTGCTGTGGTCCAGCGTGGCATGTTCTGGATTGTTGGAGACTGTTGGACACATTGATCCCTCGCTGGAGTTGTTTCTTTGGAAGCCATTTACAGTTTCTTACAAAAACATATCCCAGCCAGCGATTGCGAGTTTCGACAAAAAAGAATGGAGAGCAAGAGAGAAACGGAGGGAGAGAGAGAGAGAGAGAGGGCGAGAGAGCGAGAGAGGGAGGGGAGGGAAGGAGTGAGGAGAATCGAGCACCACTTCCATATTCAAGCTATCATGTCCGGCAGAAGAGTGACTCGTGAGCAATGCGTCCATCAGCCGAGTGCCTGGCGGTGTCGACGGAATGCGTTTTCGGTGTCTGACCACAAAACTCCGGCGTGCATCCTAAAGTCATTCCAAAGTGGCCATGCTTGCCAGAACGAGGGCCTGCGTCAGTCCATGTAGCATGCCTTTAGGAAGGTGGTTCATGCCTGTCAACACAGTATGTTCCCAGCCATGCGAGCGATAGTGGTTGAAGAAAGAGAAAAGGGGAAAAGGACATGCTTGAGCTTTGTGGATCGCACCGTTTCCATCAGTCCACGCGTGGCATGTGAACCGATCCACACGAAGTCAGCACCACTCAGCCGATTTCGGTACTCTCCTTCGAACTTGAGCTGATCCAGTGATCCAGGGTTCACACTTAACTAACCTGTTCATGGTTTTGGTAGATGTGGGCCCCAAGGTCGGAGACGAAAGACGTAACAGGGGGGGGGGGGGGGGNNGGGGGGGGGGGGGGGGGGGCGAGCGCTTCGCACCCGAAAGCCTGAAACCATTCCTCCTGTGAGCCTTCCCTCACCTTGGCCTCGGAGGTTCGAGGAGGAAGCTCCGCAAAGACAGCAGGAGCTCCTTGCGGGGTCGAAGTGCGGCCGTGATCTGCGAGTATAGGAAAATTGTCGAGATCCGCAAACCTATAAGCCCTAACCTACCAACGTGTTGTGATTAACTTTGCAAGGGGTACTCTAGCTTGGGTATCCTTTTAGGAGTTTTCGTTCTGCTGATCTCCAACTTGGACGACCTAACTGGTTTGAGCCAGATGAGCATCATTCGTCAGACTTCAAAACCTCAGATTCCTCGTTTCCTTAACCCTGGCCCGTAGCCCGGCTCTCCCACATTGTGCGCTTACAAACTAGGAAGCCCATGAGGGCCAAATCACATACCGAATGTGAGAACTAATTGAGTTCTTCCTTCCCTTCTGGGACCTGGAGGGTTGCAGTCGTAGCTGGGGCCTGCATTTCATCTCCCCGACACTCATCCTCTGGCTATAGAAGTCGCCCGGACCAACGGACCCTTGCCACTTGTTTTCGTCTTGATTCCCAGAATCGGCTCTTTTGTTCGGTAGCCTGGGCAACCTGAACCCATGTTCCCGCGCTCTTCCCTGGAGGAGCTGCAGATGTTTGACGCACAGAAAGCCCTAGCAGCCATGTTCACGCGAGAAAAAAGCCTTGGGGTCTCAGTTTCGGGGCTTCGGTGCTAACCTTCAGGGTTGAAGTGCTAGGATTTCGGGTCTAAAAGACTAGGCCCGGGTAAGACTGCTGGGCGGGGGGGGGGGGGGGGGGG